CGTTTTGCTCTTTCCTCCCGGCCGAACTTTTTGTATCTTTCAAATTTTTATAGGGCGTACAATGCGTGCAGACCAATAATACTTGTAAAAGACGGTTGGGTCATGTAATTAAACAACCCTCTACCCAATTCAACAAAAAAAATATGTTTTGGCGTTGTGTCAAATGGTAGAATCGAAAAGTATTTGGTTTTTGAGTCTAGGTGTCTAGCAAAAACTGGCAAATTTAAAAAATCATGTTGCGTCTTTAGACCTCTTACGACGAGACTTTTAGTCAATAATCCGTTCAGCGCATCCTTTTGTTTTGCAACTTTTTACTCGTTGCTTTTTTCAACCCTTCCAAAAAAAAATTTTAAAAAAAATATCGCGCCGCGCACGTAGCAATAATGCTTGACAACACGGATCCAACGCATCATTGAAAAATACGTGGCGAGATTAAAAAAATATGTTATGATGTTTTCCCGGTCGCAGAAGCGAAGCGAGTAAAGTATTTAATTTTTCATACACCGCGTAAAGAATTATGTTTATTATGTTAGGCTCTCTATGGCGTAGAAATTAATAAAATTCGCAAATTCGAAAACTATCAAAGTATCGTCCTTAGACTATTATGGTTAACCCCGACCTTGAAAAAAATATAGCGCTAACTCGCTAACTAAATTTAGCGATTTTGTGCTGTTCAATGATTTTGGTTCCTTTCGTATCGTTCGAAGCTTTATGCGCCATACCAACAATTTTCACGGAAATTCAGTGAAAAGGAAAAGAAAGGAAGGAAGGAAGAAGAAAAGAGAGGAAGGAAGAAAGGAAAAGGAACTCAGACATCATTCAAAATTCTACCAATATTTAGAAAAGTATGTTTTGGAATTTTGCCACCAAAAAGTGGACTTCTTTAGCATTAATGTCGCCGGGTTAGGCATTGCTTACGGATCTTTCCAATTTGGTTTTTATTTACTGTTCGTTAGCCAGGAATCCGCAAAATTAGGGTTTTGCCGGGACCCTCAAAATCACCGTTAAAGGAATTTAATAATAATTTATTCAACACTAAGGTTTCAATGAGAAACGCTTAAAAGTGCGGGAATATGGTATGAAATCAAACCCAAGAGAAAAAAGCGGTGAAAAACATACTAAACAGGACGTTTTATCTCTTCCCTACCAAAATCTAAACCTTTTCCGTATTTCTTTGTTGTTAAACTAACACATACTTCTGCTTGCGCTATCCCTTTAATGGCTCTGCCTACATAATATCCAAATTTTGCATAGCTAAATGTCCCAGAAAATACCACAAATGCCATGCAAAAAGTTTCGGCATTATGATATTCAATCAGCTGGGTGCCGTTCCTAATTTAACACTTCCCACTCATCTTTAGGTTTTCTAATTTTATTTGAATAATTTTTATTGATATCATTCGGGAATTAACAAATTTAGGGTTTAAGCAGCGCTTTGAAAAGCAGTTTTTGACGAGTTTGAAAAATCATGTTTCACCTGGCTACCTCGGTTGCCAATTTCTTCAGCCGTTTCGTGCTTATGCTACATCGTTCCGTGCTTTTTGCGCGTTTTGGTTAGCGATATTTGATTACGCTTTCATGTATCTTTCTGAGCTTTGAAAGGTTCACGCAAAACGGAAAGGCAAAAACACGGCGAAAAAGCAGCGAAGAAAAAATGTTCTGCCTTTTTCCTAATTTATTTCTGCAAAGCACTTACTTTATTTTATGACCTTTTTCTAATTCAATTTAAGCTTTTTGTAAGATACAGAATTTATTAAATCCAGATCTTTAAGGTAATGAAGCTTAAAATCAATCCGATTAATAGATTTGAAAAATCATGTTTCGTCTTCATGAATATATTGCCGAGAATTTCGCTAAATAATTATATGTCGGATTGCGATATTTGAAAAATGACGAATTAGCCTAGTCAATATGTCGTTGTCTTTCTTCTATTTCTATTTGCTTTTGGTAACGGTTGCTTAACGGGGGGGGGAATAAGTGTAAAATAAAAATCTTGTATTTTACAATTATCGTGTTTTTCGAAAATTTGACTATGTGATTTAATTTCAGCCAAAAACTAATTTCCAATTTTCATTAAAAAGCTTGTCGGCATAACAAAGTACTATTTTTAGATTATGGTATTTCGGGCCAAAATTGAATCCATTAGTATAATATCCAGTGCTCCAAGCGACTACTATAGCTCAATAAGTTAAAATTACCCTTTAATGTATTGGTCTTGCTGGCTCCTTTAGAATCATTTAATAGGTATAATGAGGCCATATAAGGTGAAATTTATCCCCCCCCCGTTAAGCAACCTTTACCTCTCTTATCTACATTTAATATATTTGACTTCCTAGTACCTTTAAAATAGTTTCATTCCGTAATACCACGCTTTCCGGTCCAATTACCTTCAATATTACGTGCCGATCCTGAGTCGTAAGATCAGAGCCCAATTCTTGGTGCTAATTTAGCCCCCTCTCCGAGTCGCTTTTCCCTCCCATTCTGGTTGCCATGGACTTCGGCACAGACTCTCAGGCTTCTTCTTTTCTATTCTTTTTCTTTTCTCTTTCTCTCTCTCTCTCCTCTCTCTCTCTCTCTCTCTCTCTGTCCCTCTCTCGCCTCTCCATTCTATGAAATTCTTTGAACCCCCTATCCACCGGAACTTTCTGGATTTTCGACTCTGACGTCTTGGATTATGAATTCTGCTAAACCCCCTTAAATAACGTACCAAATTTTCAATTAAATTACGATGATTTCAATGAGAAACTCCACCCTGATTATACCTGAAAAAATCTGAGGAATTTTTAGAAAAAATTTGTTCCAACAAATTATTCATACAAATTATTCATACAAGCTATATTTTTCTGGAGTAATTAAGACATGTCCTGTGTTCCAATTCCCACCCTGAAATCATTTACTTATTTATCGGTATATGTCGGCTACGGGGGGGGTTTTACGCGGGGGGACAGGACAGGGCAGGCCTTTTTGGATGTTCTCGTTATTTTCTCGGAATTTTTTTCAACGGCATTCGATAGAGCACCGAACAATATACTAAGAGTTTTTGTTTTAGCTCAAAATAGTGTAATATAAAAAAGTTATGGCAAATACAAAAATAAGCTTTAAAAATCGGTTTGAGCGGCTGTTTTTTGACATTTGCGTTATTTTTTTCGACATTTTAAAGATGCCATTCGATAGAGCATCCAAAAATATACGAAGAGTTTTAATTTTAGCTCAAAATAATGTAATATAAAATAGTTATAACAAAAACAAGTATTAAACGTTGTTTCCATGGAGGACATAGAAGGAAATCAAGTTTTCGACATTTTCGACATTTTTACAAAATTTCTTTAGTGCCATTCGACAGAGCGTCGAAAAATATACTAAGAGTTTTGTTTGTAGCAAAAAGAAACGCAAAAAAATAGTTAGCTCGGCCCCAACAGTCCGTCCCCCCCGCGTAAAATCCCCCCGCGTAGCCGACATATAACTTATTTATCAAATTACTTATGTATGGCATTAAATTATTATATTTAATTAACACTTGAGGCGGCCTAGGGGTGGAAAATTTGATGCTAATTTTTGAAGAAATGTTTCGTCTATGTATTCAGTTACAGTATTATTTTTGCTAATTAATAAATGGTAGGGTGTTGCAGGAATTAAAAAAAACGTTTTCTTTGTAGGTTCATATAGAAAACATTATTCTCCAACTATCCTATGGCTTTTTTTCTTGAGCTAAATTAGAAACATCATACTAAAAATGTTCAAATGCCTTTAACACTAAAATTTAGCTGCGAGATTTTTTTGAAAACATGTGAAACATTTGCCATTGAATACATTGCCGACGAAAAAGATCTGCGCACTTCATTTTCGAATTAAAACCACATCTACCATGAAATTTGAGGCATTAGTTTAAGAAATGTCTTTCGTCTATTTCCTGCTATAAATAAACATTTTTTCGTAATGAGTTGTATGTTTCTTAGTTTTGGCATTAAAATCCATGCAACAAGAAATTATTCTTGATCAATTTTACCGTTATTTTGAGCCTGAATCTTTCCATAATCGCCGCCTTCCGTATTGGTTTTTTCTAAAAAAAATTATGTTTTAAGCTAGTGTTCATATAATGCTTTATTTTTGCATTGGGTATTTTATGCATATTCTTTCATTAATGGCGTGTTGTTGAGAGAGGTTTTAATAAAGGTCTGGAAATTTAAATTTAAGACTTCAATCAATCAAATCTTTCTTGAATCCCGATTATTGTACGCAAAGACGCCGCGTCTTCAAGCGGTCGTGAACAAAAATTGTAATCCAAGGGCGGGGGCGTGCGCGTTGTGTGGCGCGAAAGCGGAAAATCCTTTCGGGTACGTCCAGCCAGCAAAATACACAGCCAATAAAATCCATAGCCTTGCCTTGCCGGGTCCTTTAAACTTCCTTGAGCCCATTAAGCTCCTATCGTATGGTTTTGTGAAAATCAAATGTTCCATAAATATAAAAAAAATAGTGTCTGTGTGTGTGTGTGTATATTTGCATGCACTTCCGTTTGGATGTTCCGCACCTACAGGTTCAGGGAAGCATTTTTTCGGTAGGGAAGAAACGTCATAGGGTAAAGAAGGGGCTGGAATCGACTGCACAGAAATAAAATCTTTGAAAAATTTCTATTTTTGCTATTAAAATTAGGTTTTTGTAAAAATCTCGGCTTGTCTCTTTGGTAGGGAAAATTAGCATACGCCGGAAGTGGAAATGGCTTATAAAAAGGAAGGGAGGGCGTGGTTTTCATTTTTTGGTCATCGGTTTTCGGCAAGAATTATGCAAAGTTTCATAAATCTAGACGGGGCCAGGGTTGAAAAGCCGCGAAGCGGTTTTTCAACCCTGGTGTTCCATAAATTTTCAAATTTCGCGGTGCAGTTGCCTGAACAGTGCAAATTTCACTAATCTGGTCCTCGTTACTTTTCATATTTTTCCATTTCCTTCTAGCAATTATATGCCGGATATAACCCCTACATTTTTTCAGGAAATTTCTTTGTCTGATGGAGACGACGACAATCGAGGACTTCGAAGTCCCGTCGACATCAAGTAAGCATTTTTACAAATTGCTAAAAAAATTGGTTTCAAAAAATGGTGTCAAAAAATGTGATGTCAAAATGTAATTTTTCACTGTCTGTGTAGGGAAGAGCCTCACGTTCCGTAGTTTGATTTTGGGTTTTTTTGGAACAATGTTTCGTGTATTTTGCCGACGGCGCTCGGGGAAGTTTGCGTGATGCGCTGCACCACTTTTTATAACTTTGGAATTTTTAAGAATTTGAATTTAGTATTTAGCTGTTAGTAGCGAGAGCGAGAGAATAAAGCGGAAAAAGTGGCCGAATCTTGCGCTTGACAATCCCTTTAAAACGAACGGTTTCAAGCCACTGAAAAAATATGTTTTGGACTATCCCTGGCTCGAGTCTGTAAACATCTGCATAATGCTCCTTCGACCATCATCCAGACGTTTTAATGCCTAATTTTAACGCGTTTAGTATAATACGAATATTTGCTAACTCCGAGATTTTACAGATGCACGCTGCAGCCCCAATTTTACTTTTAAATTTAAGAAAAACAAACATTTTTTCCTGCAAAAGAAAATGTTTGGGTAAAGCGCGGCACGGATTTGAAAATTTCAGAATAATGTTTCCTTCGAGGATGGCGAAATTGCAGCGAGGCGGAAAACAAGCCTCATAATCAAATTTTTTAGAAAATACGTGGTTCCGTTTTGCATATCTTTGAATAACGACTTTTCTTGGCGATAGCGCACTTGCTAGTCCTTTTAAAAAACCCATCAATTTTTTGCTTTGTAAAGACAATGTTTTGGGCCAAGCGCTGCTCTACCTTGAAAATCCTACCTTATATAATTTTGGCGTGTAACTGTGTGTGTGTGTGTGTGTGTGTGTGTGTGTGTGTGTGTGGATGTCACTTTCGAGGCCCGATTTGAGGGCCTTTCCGTGTATAAAATGCGCTAATTTTTCGTCACCCGGGGGAATCGACCCTTCTGTTTCCGATGACGTTCTCAGAATTTCGATAAAATACAAGTTTACAAAGTTAAAGCCGGTTTTATTCATTTTTGGGGGTAATTTGCATAATGTGAAAAAATAGAAATTTCCTCATTCTTGCCAGTTGCACTCGCGGGTTTGGTCGGGGGTGGGGGTGGGGGGGGTCCGCAGTCAAATTTCTCATGGAAAGGCCGCATTCCAGCTAGTGTTGGTTTTTTACCGGTACCGAAACCCAGTACCGGTACCGACAGCCATTTTTTACCGATGCCATTTTTACCGGTACCGGACCTCCGGTACCGGTACCAAGCAGGTACCGAGAGGGTCGGTACTTTTTCGGTACCGGTACCAGAGTGAGTACCGATGGCATCTGTCTTTTCGGTACCGGTACCAGGTGGTACCGACCGATCGGTACTTTTGCCGGTACCGGTACCAAACCGACCGGTAACGGTACTGCGGACCGGTACTGGAGGGGGCACAGGAGGGCGGGTTGCTTCCTCGCCGTGGGCCAGACGGGGGGCGTGTCGGGGGATGCGAGAGGACGAGGGAACAACGGAGATGGAGAGGGGGGAGAGAAAACAGGCGCGCTCTCTTCCGATCCCCCGACACACCCACCCGTCTGGCCCACGGCGAGAGGGCAAGCCGGCGCCCTGTGCCCCCGCCAGTACCGGCCCGCAGTACCGTTACCGGTCGGTTTGGTACCGGTACCGGAAAGGTACCGATGCCTTCGGTACTCACTTGGTACCGGTACCGAAAAAGTACAGATGCCTTCGGTACTCACTTGGTACCGGTACCGGAAAAGTACAGATGCCGTCGGTACCAACAAAGTACCGGTACCGGGCCCCGGTACCGAACATCGGTACCGGGGTACCCGAGGGGGGTTCGGTACCGGTACTGGGTTTCGGTACCGGTAAAAAACCAACACTAATTCCAGCGCCCAAGGCCCGCGAAGCGGGTTTTGGGCGCTGGTTTCTGAATAATCCTCGTATCCCCCGCTATAAAAATAATGAATTAAGAACATCCAGCAAAATTCCATGTTCTTCTTAATGATAATTTTTGGAGTCGGCGGTACTCCGAAAAGGTAATTTTGATAAAAGCTAAAAAGATTCGAGTTTAAAAACCTATGGCACTGAAAGGTTTTTAAAAAAACCGAAAATGTTTGCTTTTGAGAAGAAATGTTTCGGGTAAAGCGCAGCTGTCCTTTGAAAATTTTTGAATAATATTGGTAGTAGCTTGACGAACGCGTCGCGAATATAATGTTCTGTTTTAAACCTGAACCAGGGTTGAAAAGCCGCTTCGCGACTTTTCAACCCTGGCCGCCGTCTTACCCCCCATACTTCGTCACATTGCATAAACACCTGAATTCCTGTGCAGAAAAATGAAAAGCGCGTCCTATCCGCCGTTATATAGGCTTCCCCCACTTCCGGTGCATGCAAATTGATTTCTAACAAAGAGGCTGAGCGAGATTTTCAAAAAAACTTTTTTTAATATCGAAATAGCTGATTTTCAAAAATCTCATTTGCGTGCAGTCGTGTCATGATCATTACGCACCTAATGACGTATCATACGTACCCTTAACTTCCTCCCCTATTGAGATACGACTGGAACATACGGACGGAAGTTGCGTGCAAATGCACACACACACACACACACACACACACACACACACACACACACACACAAACACTATTTTTTATATATAGTAGGATTACTCAATAATCTGATAAACAGGCCGAATTCAGAAATATCGATCTTTAAAATAAACAGCCGTGACGGACCCCCTAAAAATGAGAGTTTTTAACCGTTGAAAATAAATGTTTTAGCCATGCCAGGATAAGGATTCGGAAAACCCTGAGCAATTCTTGTACGAAATACACCCCTTCGTAAATTCGATTTTCGGCTTAATTTGTTTACCTTGCTTTAAATTTAAAACGTAAAATTGAAGCCGTACTTTAAACAGCGTATTACGCGGAAACGGATCCGAGTTAACCGCCAAATTTTCAGCGTCACCTCCCGATTTTCTGGTGGCAATGGAGACGGCGTGTGATATATGCACAGGGCCGGGGGCTACGCTACACTACGGGGCAATGACGTGCGGGTGGGTTATAGTAGGATCCATTCTATAATATACTATTCGATACTCTTAATCTATTCGATGAATATTAAAGGTCCAAGTGGCGCACACATTGAAATATAGTTGGATTTTATTAAATGCGCTACTAAAATACTTACCTTACTAAAATAGCAGGCATTGTGTGGTCTTATTACGGTGAAATTTCGGGTGGATTAGCTACAGGATTTTGAAACACATCAGCTTTGTGGAAAACCCCCTAACGCATTATCTCAAATTTAAAAATCCTTTTGTTTTAGATCATGTAAAGTCTTCTTCCTGCGCACATCAATGGCCAAGAAAGTATTTCTCTGCGAGCGTGGCGGGCACTGTGAAATACGTACGTTTTGAAGAAATTAAGAAAAGCAGGGTTTTGGCTTTTCCTAATTTTCGCAAGCAGGCGGTCAAAATGATACAAAATTTTAGCACGAGATCGATGTCGGGCGTGCCGTTTCCAGAAATGCTTGAAGATGGGTATGAATCCGGAAGGTTTGTTATGAGAGTGAGTTCACTCTCGCTCAAGCTCTCTCTCTCTCTCTTTCTCTCTCTCTCTCTCTCTCTCTCTCTCTCTCTCTCTCTCTCTATCTCTATCAGTCTCTCTTTTTCTCTCTCTCTCTCTCTCTCTCTCTCTCTCTCTCTCTACTCTCTTCCGTCTCTCTCTCTCTCTCTCTCTCTCTCTCTCTCTCTCTCTCTCTCGGTCCCACAGACTCTCCCTCTCTCTCTCTCGCTCTCTCTCACGCTCTGCCTTGCATGTCCCTGTGATTGTCCTAAACAAAAATATTTAAATCCCTTCTTCCAGCTGTCGGCCGCCGAAAACAACTAATATTAAGCGGAAAGGAAAAAGCTGAAGATCGACTGCCCGATCTATCGATAGTACCCTATTTTAATGAGGTATCACTAATTTGGCCTTAAAATAATTCAAATGTTTCACTAAAAAATTCTTAAAAACAATAAAAATTTAAGAAATCAGCAGCCCGGTCGAGGAGTTTCCACGCGGAACTCGGAAAACTCGATGACGCCTCGAAAATTGCGTTTCATTTGCTGGGAGTAGAGAGGTTAGTGATTTATGTGAGACATCATTATTTGTATTTTTGGTAGTTTTTTTTCTATTCTCCTTTTAAAGGGATCTGCAAGGCACATCCATCGATTTTGCCGATTCTGTTTTGCTGGCGCGGAGATGCAGACCGCTGCTTTTCTCTGCGTCTCTCCCCTTTCTCTGCTATCGCGAAACGGGCGTACCGGGCGTATCGGAGTGCTATTTACAAACTGCCACGTTTTCCGACTTTATTTTAAGCTTAAAAACTACTCAGCTCCATAGATTTGTATGCCAACATCCTTTTTCCGCCAATTAAAACATCTAAAAATTTCTTTGGGGACAGCTATTTTACGGAAACATGCATTTTGCAATTGCCGTTTTGTGAAGAAGTTGAAAAATGTTTCAGAAAAATTCATTACCAGTAAACAATTCAAAACTGGCTCCAATTGTGTTTCAAATTTTGGTAAAAACCCATATACTGGGCTGAGGTGAATATTTGTTGCTGCAGAATTGCAAGCCGCTTTGGCCTATCACTTTCAGTGCGGTCAAAACGGTTAATAACCTTTTGATCGATTTTTATCCCGGTTTTAAATATAGATAAACGGATGGCAAAAAGAAATTATAACAATGTTCTACTTCTCCAAATCCTTCAAAGCTACTAAGCTTCACAGCTCCAAAATGCAGCTCTAATAGCTGCTAAAAAATTTTTGTTAGGTTGGAAGGCCTCATGAATGACGGCGCTCGGCGCTCGGATAGTATTCGATCACGGTTCTCTATTAAAGATCCGAGAATTTTCTTTTTGTAAACAAAATATTTTAAAACATTCAATTTAACCATGTCACACCGGGAATATAGCGTCCCGCCACTTTATATTTCACAAAATTCACCCCTAAAATCGATATCCTCAAACCCACCAATTTTGTATTGGCGGAAATTCGACTAGCAAGCTTTTTGGTGGGGCCAGGACGACAAAGTTTTCATGGAAGAGATAAGAAAGGAGGCTTGTTGAATTTTTATTTATTTTGTAATAAACAATATCGGGTTTTGCTTCGATTTATGATGTCCCTAGCATCTGTTTCCAAAGCTTTAAAAATATCAAAATTCAAATTCAACTTTTGCTTTCTGTTGTCGTTTTTATCATTTAAATCTAGAAAGATCTTTGAATGAAAAGGCCATGAAGAAAGAAGAAAGAAAAGGCGTTCTTGTGTGAGTAGATAATTTCCATACACGTGGCTTTTTCGAAACACTGATTTTGCCCTATTAAAATGGACCTTCGATTTCGCAAGCGAGACGCAAAATTAATGTTCACATTGGAAGGATAGGATTAAATTTTTGGGGCGCTTGTCATGTTTAAAATTTAGGTAAAACATTCTTTCCTGCCAAACATTTAAAATTTTGAGTCGCGAAATCCATAGCTCAAAAATTCCCTTTAATTATTTTGGAACTTCCGCTTACTTGCTGGAGCTTTATAGGGGTATTAAAACATAATATTGCAACGAAATCTAAAATTTAAAATTATGTTCGATCGGGGATAGGCCCCAACTACCTATTCGGCTAATATTTGATCTATTAGGCCTTTTCCTGAAACACGTTGTTATTGTGACAAAAAAAATTAGCGAGAACTGATGTACCAGATATAGCGTATCCTTATGTTTTTTTATGAAACATTTTTTTATTTTAACGGCTGACTTAATCCGGATTTCGGAAATCCGGCAAAATTACTGGATACTCTTATGGACCCATTAGTATGTTTTTAAGACACGATTTCCTGCAACTTTCTAAAACATATTTTTCCAGGTTTTGCGACAACGACACGGGCCAATTCTCGACGTTCTCAACGTTTAATGTGAATTTGGACGTGGAGCTGGCGGAAGCGTTGCAATTCCCTGGGAAAGTATGCCCCAGGACACCAGTCAGTTTTTCGATTTTTAGGAGATTTTCCATCCAAAGCAAATCGTGGTATTACTATTTTTTAGCCATGACCCCGGAAAGGAAAATTTTTTGAAACATTCAATTCATAATCTTTGTAAAAAAATCGTCGAGCCGTTAAAATTTAAAGGTGCGGTTTATTGGGATATAGGCACAATTAAATACCCCAATTTATAAACTCTCATGGGAAATTTAGTAAATTCCTGTTCTTTAGAAAGCTTCAGTCGAAACAAAGAGTTATTATTATCCGGACTAATGCAACTAGCGCTAGTTTGGCTAGAACATTTTTTGTAAACAACAAAATCCTTAAAATTTTTCTCTAGTTTTGTTTCTAAATCATTTACCGAACGAGCACGGTAAATCGGTTCCTATAGAATCGCCAAATGTGGGCAGATTTTAGATTTTAGCGTAGGCTGCCTGGCACCATCACTTTCACTTAATTAATTTCGTTAACTAAAAATCTAATTTAGTTTTATTTAACTCAAAGTTTAATTTTATCACTTTAAGCAACACTAAAACAAACTGCTCGAATTTTTGATCTGGAATTAATGGCATTTTCAATTCTGACATGATTTGGGCCATATTAACCGTCAAAACCCCAATTTGGCAACATTTCTAGCTGAAACATATCGCCAGTGATTTGGAAATATCGTCAACCCTGTGGAGTCGTGATTTTTTAAGACCAGAACCGCAAATACGGGATGAAATATTTACTGGCTCTGCCGTTCTAAAGCAAAATCAAAAAATTATGTTTACCACAAATCACATTTCTCGAATTAATGCGCTTCTACGTAGCTTTGTTGAAACATCTGTTATCAAACTAGTCAATAAAAGCAAAATATTCTTATCATGAACTTGTTAACACGATATCAGCAGCAAAACTCGAATTTAATAAAGCCAGCCGACCCATAAATTTAATGAAACTTTTTTATAACAAGTCAAATTTAACCTGTACTTTGCATTTTCCGTACGGTAGACCAAATTATTTAATTTTGTTGGCTTTGAAATACGGAATTCTGAATTCGCCATTGTACCATGGCGGACCCATTGGCTGCCAAAGCTTCATTTTTGGAACATTTCAGCCTGAAACATCGCCCTTGCATTCGCCCATGATTTAATGAGCTTCTCCGTAGTTTTCATGAAACATCTGTTTTGACAAAGAGGCTGTGAGAGCAAAAGCCAAAAATATTTTTAGCGGGAAACTGTTGCTAAGATTTCAGCAACAACAGTCGAATTTATCAAACCAGGCGACCCATAGGTTGGCTGAAGCATTTTTTTAATAACAGGCAAAATTCAACCTGTACTTATTTACTGGCCTGTACATTTTTAAGGTACGGTACAACCAAAGCATATTTTTATATGGATCCTGACGGTTACTACCGCAACACGACCTCAAAGCGGTGATCCATGTCAAAATAAAACAGCAACCTATAAAATTTATTCGCGAAATTTATTTTTTTTTAATTTGCGTTGCGTATCGTGGATGCGGCAAACAGCAAAGTTTTATTTTGTTTCGGTTCTAATTAACGAAATTTTAAATCTAACGATGGCACATTGGCTGCCAAAACCTCCTTTTGGCAACGTTCCTAGCTGAAAGATATCGCTTGCCATCTGGAAAATGACCTCAAACATGAAGCAATTGTATGTAGCTATTTTAATTTATGTATGTATAATTTTATGTATGTAACAATCTGGATTTCAAGTAGGCCCGTGCAAATATGAAGCTAAAGTCTAACTAATCTCGTGTTAGATGTTTTCGATCAAAATCAAAAATTAAGCTCCCAGATTTGGACGCGATAAATTCCGCGGCTTTCCCAGCGCTCTTCCGGGTTTTTGATGAAACATCCAAATTTTTGCCCTTTCCTTTATTTATTAAATTTTTCCAATAATTGACCTTTCGGCTCAATCTAGTTTATCTATTTTTTATTTATCATAAAGATTTTCAGTCCGATCACCCAACCTTAAATTCTCATTTCCCAAGCTTCCGAAGTACAGTAAAAATTTAAAACACATTTTTTAGACTACAACAGTGGAACAATTAATTCGTTTCAGATGAGCTGGGTGGAAGAGTTGCGAATCTGTGCCGGAGACGTGCCCCTCTTCTGCCAATTATACTGCCGGATTACGGTACATGCCCTCGATTGGGTCGTTTCGCTCGATGAGATCTGGATGATGTCCGATCGGGATCGGGTGGGTGATACGGCACCCGAAGGGAAAATAATTGCCCGTAGAAGTAGTTATAGAAATGCAAGATAAAAAAAATGAAAAAATTACTTTTAAGGTTTTTTATGTATGCTCCATAATACTCCAAAAAGTGAAGTACTCGACCAGAGATTAATTCCATTGGTAAATTTATTAAAAACCCTTAGGCTTCGCCTATATAATGCAAAAATATGCACCCATCAGAACTCGCAAAACGGAATAACATGTTTTTTAAAATTAAGATCCGGTACTAAACTGTTAAGGGGGGAACTATTTTTGGTCTTTTTGCCTAAACCCAGCTGTCAATAATCAATAATGTATTTTTATAATGTTATTAACAATTTTCGATTGCTAGAAGGCTACACAAAATATTTTAAGTATTCTTAAAACTTCGAACCTTTTGTTATTCCCACGCATTTTTGACAAAATTGCAATTTTCGAGAGAATGCAATAATTATAATCTCCAAAGTACATTTCACATCAGAAAACATTGTAACATGCCTTAAAAATGGTTTATATTTCGTGAGGCAACGTTACGGCACGGGAGTTACTGGGAAAATAGAAGCGTCATTTTAATAAAGAAAATAATCTTAAAAAATCTCTACAATAATAGTGATTTTAGGTGCGTCTCATAGCAAGTCAAGCGCCTACGATTGTCATCGCCACCCTCGTTTACAATACATACAAATACAAAGCTCTCGGCGTTCTGTTTTGCCATGGGTTTCAGCTGTTCCGCTCCGAGTCGAAATCCAGGTACTTTTCTACTTGACCAATCATTCCAGAGCTATTATTTAAGGCTGAATACGGCTAACCGCAAGTTGGCAGTTTTTCAAAAGTAGATGTTTCCTAGTTATTTTGGGTCCAGGAGTGGAGCCACGGGCCAATTGCCAGTCGCTGATCCTTTCGCTGACATTTACCGAAATGTCCCTTCAATTTTGTACTTAACTCTTTACAAAAGCCACTCTTGAATTTTGCACGATTAAAAATACAGTTTAAGCAAAAATTGACTGCAGACGACGTGTAATCTGAAACCGGCCAGCTCATACCATGACATGTTTCAAATTTTGTGTGAGTCTAGCGCATTCTCTTCACAATAATTCCTCTGTGCCACTGCGCGGCTAGCAATTCGGCTGATAGATTTCTGTTCCGTGGCATATTATTTGATGCAGAGGCCAGCTCCACATAATTCGGATCCGGATAAGGGGCAGATAGCCGGATAAGGGGCCGGATGTATTAGCCTAAGATAGACCTTATTTTTGAAACAGACTTTTTTAATTCCAGCGATGGCGGAAGTGGTGACTACACGTCGGTGATGGTCGACTTTGCCCACCAAAAGATCATCTCCGTCTTCAAGGAGGTGTGCATCACCGAGGGAGAATATGCCATCCTCAAATGCGCCACATTCTTCACGGCCGGTGCGTTTTACTTCAGTGCCTGACGAACAAATATTAAGAGCCGATTTTATCCGTGCTCCCCTATGATGATGTGAAACTTACATTATATAAAAAAGTATTGAAAAAATAAACTAAACCCTTATAACTTAATCGAAGCCATAAACTGGTTTCGCTATTCAACCCTTAAAATACGTTTTCAAATTAATTTTGGTCCTTTTGCATTATCGGGGAGACGACGCCTTTTTTCTCTGAATCCAAAAACGCACAGTAATGCAATATTACACATTTTAATCCAATTTTTAGTGTTTTTTTATTTCGAGTATAAAACTATCTAGAAAGCTCCTGGAAAAGTTTTAAAAAATTCGTAATTTTGGCTGCAAATCGGCCCTTTCGTCGAAAGATCGGGGTTTTTTGTATTTTCAAAAAAAATTCCCAAGGTTTGATTAAAAAAACGTTACCAAAAGGCAACTCCGTATTTTTCAATATGGTTTCTTAGTTAAATTTATAGATATGTAGAAAATACCTGAATCAGTCAATTGGCCAGCAAAGCATACTAGAAATGCGATGAAACATAATTTTTCGATCCAAAACTAATTTTTCCAAAAACAAACAATTTCGTCTTTTAAATATATCCCGTATTTAATTTTTTGGCCGCCCTCTTCTTTGCGAATTATGCTAATTTGCTTCTTTTAGTGGGCGTTAGCCTATCGGATGAGGCGGCGGAAATCGCGCGGAACGCCCGGAGGAGATACGAATATTTGCTGTTAAAGGTATATTAAGAGTGTTGATTTTGAGATTTTATGGAGATTTTATGTGTACCTATCACCTACTGAATTTCCATTGTAGAGGTCCGATCCAAACGAGCATCGTTTTTTAATGAAACCTTTTTTGGTATTTTCGTGATTCTTTCGCATTCTCGGGTGCACAATTTTATGCAGGATAGGAAACCACTTTGTTCGTTATTATCTAATTTTCTAATAAAGTAGTGCAAATGTCTTTGTTCTGTTATTATTATTCTTAACCGTATAAGCTTTACAAACTTTATTTACTAGTACTTTACTTTACAACTCGATAATGCAAAAAAATTTTTGCTCAAAATATCACGAAGTTTGTGGTTTTTTCTATGCTATTATTTGAATAGGTCGTTAAGTATTTCTAGATTCAGCCCCCTCGATAATTTAAAAGTACCGGAAGTAAAAACTTACTCAGCCTCCGTAGCCATGCACATTGCCGCGTTTCGATCTTGACGCATAGCATTTTTGGAATGAAACATTTTTTCGCAGTCTTAAGAAAAATAAGTTTAGCCGGTACTGTACCGTATTCTTAAACAATCTTTCAACTGTTAGCGTGGGGCTGGCTTTTATCTTTCGGTATTATTTAATATCTCTAGTAGTCTTTATGGCTAGGAAACTATGAAACTATTTTAGAATTATTAACACTTTTTGGTCATTTCTCATAAATAAAGATGATATAAAGTTAAATACGTCTGGAAATGTTTACAATTTTTAGGCAACTTTTATATCTTAAAATAGTATACAATACTATTAAAATTGTTTATAATTGTTTTAGGGGGCTATATCGGATCACAGTATAAAAATTGGTTACCCTCGCTGAAAACCCTACCCCGAACTAAAAGCCCAATACCGTTCAAAACATCATTTCCTTTTTATCCATTATCAATTTTAGTGCTAAATGAAATCAAATATTAAATGATATTGCAAAAGGAGATAAGATTAAAAGAAAGAGTAAATGTGCCAAAAACTACTTTTGGAAATTTGATGAAATTTTCAAGTTTCAAAAAGTTGTCAGGAAAGATTGGGAAATAGTTTCTTTAACGACTGGCATTATCTGCGGAAATAATGGTAACAAGCATAAAAACGTTTACTTAAAAAAGCTCTTGTAGTTAATCGAAGACGAGAAGCCGAACTTCTCGCCGACGGCCCGCGTCCTCCGCGCCTCAAAATTGCTCAGCGTCGTACCGTCGATTATTGTGGGTGTTTTACTTTGCTCAAAACGAGAAAAAATTATCAGGAATTATAAGGTATAATTAAGGAATTAAGTATTTAAATATTAAGGTAACGCGGAAAAAGTTGTAAGTTCATTAGCATTTCGTGGGTTCGGTAGTACCGATGATTACCGAAATCACAACCTCTGTAGTCTTTTTAAAACTTGCAACATACCGTTTTCACAAGGGTCCAATTCTTTGTCGTTTTTGCGCGTCTCGCGATTAATCTAACAAGCTAGCAGTGATTTTTGTTGAGCTCCCAGCATATAATCTAGACATAATACCGACAGCTAAAGCCGGACAGGAAAAATCCCGAAGGTACAAAATCCCGACAACCAAAATACCGACATATCCTTGACGCTAGCTTGATGATCAGTCCCTTTTAACGACCATTTGGGTTCTCGGGAATATGCTTGTCGGGATTTTAGCTGTCGGTATTTTGATTTCGGCCTTTTCCCCCATCCACAACATTTCAGACATTAGAGCCTTAGCCCTTAGGGAAAGATAGTATCCTAAAGCATTACTGCTAGCTTGCCTTCGATTAAAATGACGAATAAGGCAAGACTATGGGTTTTTGTCTGTCCCTATGGATTTTGGATGCGTAACAGGTCAAGCGACGCACACGCAACCCAGCCCATTCGAAAAGGCATTCAAGCTAGCAGAGATCATTTTGGACGTTCAAAACAGAAAAGAGTTTCATACCGTAGCCAGTAGCGGAGCGTAGCGCAAGATTTTCTCTAGCGGACCTACGTGCTAGGTTGCTTCAAGAATCACTGCTGGCTTGCCCAGCTACAGGAACCGACAACGCAAAGCATGTCGTTTTCGTTTCCGTGTTTTTTAGGCTCGAGGAAGGCTAGCGGAGATCATTTAGGACATTCGAAACAAAAAAATAGTGTTTACCGTACCCCGTGGCGTAAGGGATTTTCTCTACCATCAGTAGGTTTCTTGAAGAATCACTGCTAGTTTGCCTCATTTTAAATGAACCGAGATTTTCAAGCTTTTAGACCCGAGGCAAGCTAGCAGAGATGCTTCCGTAAATTCCAAAGAATAAAAATAATTTTATACCGTATAGTGTAGCGTCGCGTAGCTCCCAATTTTTCCAGCGGATGTCCCAGATCGATTGCCAATTCATCGCGAAAATGGTGGCATTGGATCTGGAGGGGATGAAGGGACGAATCACCTATCAATTCCACCTCGCAAATTGAATCTATTGGCCATGTATTGACGCTAAATTCGAAGAGGTAGTAGCTTATTATAATAATGCGCATTAACTGCTAAAAACTACCGTACTCCTGTTAGTTTGCCGAAAGAAAACCATGAGCTATTAGGACCCTGATTTCTCCCACAATTTTGGAAATAGTCGAAACATATTTTTTCGAAAAAATTGGTTGATTTTTGTGTAGGCACATCGGACAAAAACGAAACAGATTTTCTACCGCGAAAATTTTGAACACTTCAAAACCATATAATTTCTGGAATTTAGTTCTATTCTTATTGTAACGAGATACGGTGGTTCTAACATTTTAAATTCTAATTTTACGTGTGCCGTTCGCACATTTAACCCATAAAATGATTTAATGCTTTTTTATGCTACTCTGACGGGCCTCTTTCCTAATTTTCATCCGTTTCTTTGCCCTGTTCTCGGCTTCTAAAACCGCCGGAAGAAAAAGTGATTGTCATTTCCCGATTCAACGCAACGACGACATTACCTCGACCAAAGTTCTTGCGTTAATTATTTTTTTTAGCGGGAAATTCAGTACAGATTGTTTTGTGCCGACTTCTCGAAATTTTGATTTATGATGAAACATTATTTCTTTCCCTCGTAAATTCAAAAATAACACCGACTTTTAAGGTAAAATCCATTTTATCAAAACTATCATAGGACTACTGTAGAGCTCGCTTTTCAAAACAATTTTTGTTATTTTTGGGTCGTTCTTAATGCATTAAATACGTTGTTCCGCCTTGAGGATCATGGGTGTTATTTTAATTTTGCCACTTTCTGCGCGTTTCAAACTAATTTAACTTTTTTGCGCCGGCAGTTGTAACGCCGCATCGAATGCTTTTGTAATTCCCCGTTTTGTCCTTTTCTTGGTATCTAAATCCCCATAACAAAAGCTATTTATAATTTCCGGGCTAGATACAGAGCCATGTCAAATTACTCCTGTAAGAATTCGATCTTCTTTAGACTTTTATGAAACATTTTTCTTTCACCCTTTTTTTCATTTTAGTGGCTTTAAAATGGAACTTAGACCTGAAATTAGGTATTAAAAATATATTTTTAAAAACATTTGGAATTTTTCATGTCGATTAGATTTCATGAAAAAATTATGTTTCACAAAATTTCTTCAAGCGAGCCAGTTCGTATGATTCAGTATTTCGTTTGACTCCCCGCTTAAATTACGTTTGGAACCTGCACTGGACTTAAATTAGTTTTTAACATGCATTAATAGACATTTTCCTGTTTCAGCGACTCGGCATCATCGACACGCAGTATTTGGGGCAGATGGCCTCGTTCAATATGGAAGGCATGAAGGGCCGGCTGTCTTATGATTTTCATCTCAGCTCTTGAAAGAAGCGTTTATTTTTGTTTTCTTTAAAAAAATTTCGAAACTTCGTAATGTGATAATGCCAAAAATCAAAATGCCGAAATTCAAAATGTCGAAATTTCATTTTACCGAACCGGAATATAAAAATGCAGGGTCGAAATTTTTCAATATCGAAATTGCAGGCGGCAAAAATTGCGCAACGTCGACAATTTATAGTGCCGAATTTTCCTGATTTCGAAATCACGGAATGTCGAAATTTTAGAATGCTTAATTTTCATAATGTCGAAAAGTTATATTGTCAAAAAATCTTACACACGAAAATCCCGAAAATCGTGCCAATCGATGGAAAAGTTTTTGACATTCTGAATTTTGGCCTCATGATATTTCGACACATGAAATTTCAGGCTTATGGCATTTCGAAATTATATTCGTAATTAAATTTCGATATTGTTGCATTTTGACAGTTTGACAGTAAGCCCGTATTTCTTTGACCTCTTAGAGTCACCGGGAAACGCCGAAATCGACCCCTTCGGTTGACGGGGTCTAGACAAATTCACGAGGCACAATAACCTCGTTCCCGGTCCCTTGAAATTAAAAAACTTTAAAGACGTTGATTCGCAATTGTGATCGATTCGTGATAACCTCAAAACCCCATCAAAAATCTCAAATTTCGGAAAAATGTTAATTTTGATTTGTGATATTTAATGCTAGCTATACAAATCCTTGCTTACTCTACCTATTTGATACATACATTTCTGACTTGTGATTTTACCGTATTTATTATTCATTTTTTCTCGATTGGAATCCAATTCCAAACGCTGTCAAAATGAGCTTAAAGTACCATGAAAAAACCCCGTGAGAAAATGGACATTAATAAAAAGTGATGGAAACTACCGCAGATTTTTAAAATCCACTACAGAAACCATCTGATTATGGCAAAAGAAAACCGTGCAAAAAGACTGGATTACGAAACATTTAAATTTGAACGAGAATTTTTCGCTGTCGGTGGGGTTTATGAAAGCGTTTTAAAGGACCGGGAAGGCATCGCCATGGATTTTTTATTCATTCATTTATTCATTCAAACGCTGTCAGTATGAGCTTACTGTACCCAGAAAAACCCCCGTCATAAAATGCAACTGAATAAATGAATAAAAAGGGATGGAAGCTCCGCTGATTTTTCAAATTTCCCAGAAAAGACCTAATTATTACAAAAGAAAATAGCGCAGGGAGCTTTATCACGAAACATTGACATTTTAAACAGCATTTTTCGCAGCCTACAGGTTTTATTGACGATTTTGAAAGGGGCGTGCATGGTAGTGCCATGGTTTATTCATTCATTCCAAACGCTGTCAAAATGACCATACCATACACAGAAAAAAGGAAATTTGTAAAATACACCCGGTACACCCGGTACAACCGTTTCGAGATAACAGGGGGGAGGACGCAGAGAAAAATGTCTGCACTCTCGCGCCATGCTCATTCTTCCTATCCGGGTGTACCGGGTGCACCGAGTGTACTTCACTAATTGCCAAAACCTCCATGGTGATGGAAATTAATAAAAGGGATGAAATTTTCGGCTGATTGATGCATTTCATGATAATATAAGCGATTTCATGATAAAGCGCGAAACTTTATTACAACCGATCAAAAATGCGTCAGTAGGATTTTTCACGAAACATTTAATTTTGAACGAAGATTTTTGGCAGTCGGTGGGTTTTATGCAGGCCTGGCAATTTTTAGGGTCGAAGGTCGGTCCTTTAAAGGGACGGGCAAGGCAAAGATATGGATCTTCAGATGGCTATTGCTGCATTTTCATTGCGTAACGAACTGGTCCCGTGGCTAATCGCGGCATACGTGCCGGACACTGGCTAAACCATATGGAATTTACAAACCGTCTAAAAACAGAAATGAATTGATTAGAAAAATTCGAGCCGGAAGTGTTCAAATACTCTATTCCGTTCACATTAGAAAAGCCGCGACCACGTACTATCTCCACTTTTTTGAAACTCATACCACCAGCGCTTGGCTTTCCTTACCCTTAATTCTACCTTTTCACGGGTAAACCTTTCCTAGAGGGGTCAGAAAAGAGAAGATTTTTGTGAATCATCGTTACACGTTCATAGTTGGCGGACTTCCATCAGGGTTGGGGGGTCGAAATACAGCACTAAAACGGCACTTGAAAAAACTACGGCGGATATCCCCGTCCTTAAATCGATACATTGGCATAAAAATAACCATTGGAGGCAAAGATCTGTGAGAAAAATTTTTTCCTAGTTGGATGGTCTCTCTCAGTCTCTCTCTCTCTCTCTCTCTCTCTCTCTCTCTCCTCTTTCTCTTTCTCTCTCTCGCTCGGTCCCTCTCTCTCTCTCTCTCTCCTCGATACGAAATGCGGTACTATGCGAAACAACTCAGCCAATGACAGCACATGGCACAATTTATCCCAATAAATAGGTGAAACATCGAAAGCTCAAAAATTAAGTTAAAAATCATAAAATGGTACATTCCTCCCTCATTCCTCAATTTTCCACCTAAATTATCGTTAAATTCTACTAGAAACGCTCTTAAATAACTTTCTAACACGCTAAAACCATTTTTCGAAACCTGGAATCCGGAATTTTGATCAAAACGACCAAAAGTCTCGATTTTTAGGCCAAAAATGGATGGGTTTCGACCCGAATCTCGCCTAACAAGGTTTTACTAACGTGTGTTCATCGATTTTTCATCTAAAATATAGCTTGATTTGGCTACAAAAAACTCTTAACGCACTTTCTAATACGCTAGCAGGCATTTCTGGACGATAGAAAAAACGCTGCCCTCCCCCGATAATGCAAAAGAACCGAACTACCACCCATCCCTGGTAAAATCCCACAAACCGTCCATTTTTTGAGAAGTATTTAGATTTTTCCAATTTTCACGGCTTCGCCAGCTCTTCTTGACCGACCGCGTCCATGAATGCGTGCCCGTCCGCTATTCCGCGCCCCGGCTACGAAAAGCACCGTGGCGCACCGCCCTCGGGGCTACCGTACCCCCGCGCCGCCGGCTGGCCTGAATAGCTTTCGCATATTTGGTCCGCGAAAATTCGCATATTTTGCTAAATATTTCTAATATTCAATGAACCAGTGCATGAATGGTAATGGTATTCGCTTTCTAACGACTTTTTTAGGCCCGCCGCCGCCGGTGATGAACATCAACGGCCTGATTTCGAGGGGAGCCGCTCGGCGAGGACGGTATTTTTGGGGTTTAAAAGCACTTTTTCGGGGCTAGTTTAAGGCTGGAAAAACGCTATCCCTGCGATTCCTACCTATATTTAGCATTATTTTAAACCCAGAAATTCAGCTTTAAAGAGGTGCTGTCAGCAAGTGAGTGGGGGTGGCGGATTGTCTGCGTCCCTAAACCACCGTTCCCAGCTAGTACAAACCTAGATTTAGCATTTAAAACCGCTTTAAACGTTTAAAACTAGAACGTAGGGTTTAGAGGGGCGCTGACAGCAGGCAGCGGCCCCTGTAAGCGTCTCTACCCCGGTTCCCTCCCTCGCGCTCTAGTTTTGCGCGTCGGCCCCTCGAAAACGTCTAGCCCAGCTTGTAAAATTCTAGATTTAGCCTTTAAAACCACTTTAAACGTTTAAAACCTAACGCCCATGTTTTAAAGGCGCATTGACAGCAGGCGAGGGCGGGCGGCGGCCCCTGTAAGCGTCTCTCGCGCTCTAGTTCTGTGCGCAGGCCCCTGGGAAACGCCTAGCTTACAAGGAAGGAGACGTTTTTTTAGTGTCCGCGGAGTTTCGAAATGGGACCAAGGCTATTTTGTGCAGAATTTTACGCTGATCAAAACCTTATTTTCAAAACTGCGATACGAATAAAATGAGACAGTTACGACGCTTTAAAGGGCGAAGAACGCCAAAAGTTGCCCATTTTGGGCATTTTCACGCTTTAAGGCTTCATAACTTTTGAAATATAGTCGTTTCGCAGTTTCTGAAAACTACGTTTCAATCAGCGAAAAATTCTGCACAAAATCCCACGGCGTCTTAGGCCTTACTTGGAGCGCGCACGAGGGGACGGGAGGGACTGGGCTACGCCACGCCCCTTTTTGGCCCCCAAAATGTATTGGAAAAAGCTTTCTAAAGGTTATAACTTTTTTTCGAGAAAGAATTACAAATGTTTCACCTGGCGATCGATAGAGAAGACTCTAGGGAACATTTTGGTCAAAGAATTCGGGCGATCGCCGGGAAAATATAGGACTTGAAACGTTTTGAAGCAAAAATCAAGAGTTTTTCTGGTTACGGCCTCGGGACCGTTCCATCTGCCCCGTTTTCTACGTGGAATTCGCTAAAGATTTATTGACGGTGCTTTGCAGAAACGTTTTGGCAAAAAAAGCAAAACGGTGTCAGCGGTCTTTAGGCGAGGGGAGGAATCTGAACCAGCACCCGCGCCAGCCGCCGCCTTAGACCACTAGGCCATGCCCGTCCCCACCCCTAGTGTTGGGCAATTTGCCCGGTCCGGTTTTCGGGCCGCCCGAAATTCGGGTATACCCGGTTTTCGGGCGGCCCGAAAACCGGGCCGACCCCCTCGGCCCGAAAACCGGGCCGTCCCCCTCGGCCCGAAAACCGGGCCGAAACCCGGTTTTTAGGTAAGGAAAATTCGGGTTTCGGCCCGGTTCTCGGGCCAAAACCGGGCCGGCCCGGTTTTCGGGCCGAGGGGGACGGCCCGGTTTTCGGGCCGAGGGGGTCGGCCCGGTTTCATACCCGGTTTTCGGGCCAAAACCGGACCGGGCAAATTGCCCAACACTACCCACCCCCCGTGCGCGCTCTAAGACACCGTGATGCACTTGGTTCCATTTCGAAACTACGTGGACACTGAAAAACCTTGTTAGCTTGTAAAAACCTATTTAGCCTTAAAACCACTTTAACCGTTTAAAAACGAGAACCTAGGGTTTAAAGGGGCTCGGCCAACAGCCGAGTAGGCGCGGCGGCCCGGCCGCGTTTCTTCCCCGGTCACCCGCTCCCTCGCGCACAGGTTTTGCGCGT